AATTTTATATCGTACATTTTGAATAAGAAATATTCTATGAGTTTATTAAAAGTTATTATAATTTTAGTTCTTAAGTGTTAAGAGTAGTTCTTGATTTTATTGGTTGTTGCTTTTGTTTCATTTGATACAGATTGTTTATCAAACATGTAAATCTTTGTGACTCAATATTGTCTTACATTGTTTGTTTAGACTTTTTTAAACTAGAAGCTGAAAATCCATTAGATAAATGATTACTGATTTTTTGAAGTTGTTAAAAATAATTACCACAATACAACATTTGAGTTCAAATTATTGTGATATTTTATACATCCTTTGTTGCTTTTTTTAAATTAGTTTCATAAACAGATTAATACGAGTATGTTTATACATATAAATACATAATTGACTTGACAAAATAATGTTTTCACAGAGCTTTTACAGTTTTTCTCTAAAATTTCGCGGCGTGGCAGCTCCACAAACGGGTATCGTTTTGTATTTTTTTTTTCGTATTATTGCTTTAAATGAGAGTATTTATTTTGTACAAAGTAAACTTTATTACAGTTATTTAAAGATGATAATTATATTACTTTTAGACCGTCAGAAGTGATTTTTGGCATGCATAATAATTTGTCCAAGAAATTGTAAGAAATTACTTGTAAACATTATGTGATTGTTGGTGTCAGGAGTATTTTTCATCCCCCCAATGCTAACAGGTATAATGTGTGATGAATGTTATCTAATAATTGCTCTTCTTGTTTTTGATTCTATAAAATATGAAATGAAACAGATCGCACGTTTTATTTTATTTACCTTCTTCACCCTTTTGCCACTGAAGCCTAATCACTTTGTTGTGCAAATACCGTTTTAACCACCCCCGACTCATCACCGTCTACGATCAACTAATCGTTTCGATTAAAAGTTATAAAGTGGCTCACGTGTCCACGGTGCGATATCAGTCGTCATCGTTTTTCTATCGACCGGTGGTGTAATCCTCCCCCAAAAATGACACTCATTTCGTTAGTTAGTAAAGAATATCGTTTCATAGGGTGGTGATGTCGTGTTTGTGTTATAAACACAGGGAATTCCTAAACGGGCCTCCTCCATCCGACGATCTTCCATCCGTGAAATTCCAGGTTAGAAACGCTAATTTTTTTTAAGTAATATCACGATTCGGTACGATCGTGCGCTCCTTTGGCATCATGTGTGCGCATTTTGTCGATCTTTAATCGTTGGAAAGTTTTATTATTAAAGAGAAATGAGAGCAATTTATCGAAGTTTTTTTATAATGGGGGTCAGGGAAAAAACGGTGTAAGGTAATACAGTTGTCAAATTTTTGACTTTCTGATCAAATAAATAAATCATTGTTAAACGATGTTTACTTATATACTTTATTTTCATTTGTTGATTTTTGAATTATTGTAAATATGTATTTAAAAAAACAAAAGTCATAAATCGCTGGGGTTTAGTTAATCGCTTTGTTCCAATTGAGATTTTCTAAAATCCGTCGGCACTTTGCCCCCGATCGCTCATTCGCCAATAAAAAAATTCCTTTCTGAAAATAAACCGGTATGGCGTCCGCCCAATCGCCATTTTAAATCGTCTAGTGCGATCGCACCAATCATAATTTGGATTTTTTGGCGTCGGTACACCACTGGCGGCTAAAAAAAGCCCCGTTATATATTTTTTTATTTTTACCGACACCGAGAAAAAGTAATTATCATCACTTTATATGATTTGCGCGCGGGGGATGCGCCGCCGCCGCCGCCGAATTGCAGATCCACTTTGTATTTATTTTTAAATGGCTTGGAAATTTTTTTTCTTCAAGTACGATGCGGACGTACACGTCAAATTGTTTGTGCGCGATTTACGTTTTGGTTGTATGTTTTATTAGGGAGTTTTTCAAGATGGGGAGAATCGTAAGGGAGAGACAGAGTTTTTTCTATAACGAAAGGATCGAAGAGCTGAACCGGAAGTGGTTGAGGGAGCTTTTCGTGATTGCGGGGTTTAAGGTATGATGAGGGAAAAGGGTTGGAATACACCGGGGATATTGTATCACTCGAAACAATTAAATTCTTTTTTATTCTTAATTTATTTAAAACGGTTGACACGCGACTTGTTTCCACAGAATGTTACGATGGTGAACTTTTGAATAAATAAAATTCAAGAGATAATTATAGCTTTCACCATCTTTTGTATAAGTGAAACGGCTCATATATTGATTTCGTTTGAATACATTTAAAAATTAATAGGCAGTTATTTATTTACAAGGGCATGAAAGTAAAATTTGATCTTCATCGTTGAAGGGTTGAAAATAAGCTCAAGTGACAGTTTTACTTTCATTTGTATATATTTTTTTTCAATAGTAAGGGGTTGATATGTAGTGGATAATAGATGTCAGTCTAGGGGATGGATGTGGGAAAAAATTGAGTTGAATATCTAAGCTCAACAGGTGGGAGTTGAAATACAAATTGTATTTTGACGATTATTCCTAGGGTGAAGTTGAGTAATGGTTTGTTGCTCTGTAATTATTTTTGGGGCAGTTTTAGAAAGTGTTGTTAAAAAATGAGTAAAAAAACATTAATTGTTAAAATAGATTTAATTATGTATTTGAAAACAGGTATAGCAATATTCAAGATACATTCAATCTTACACACATCTTGGCAATATTACTGAACACAAAATTATAAAAAAATATTTTTGCTTTTAAAAACGATACAAAATTATCTTGAACACAAGGGATGTTTTTTTTTCAAAATTTTAAAAGTACTTCAGGGTGCGCCAGAACTCGCGCCCCAGAGAAAAATGTCATCATCTAAAGTAAGATACTAGGAACATGGAAAAAATGTTAAATAAATTTTATCCATAGGTAAAAATTGCGAAGTTTTGAAAGTTTAAATTTTGCACTTTGACTGTATTTATTTCTGTTGGAAAAATAATTTCCACAATTTTTGCTACAGGCTATTAGAAGAAGAAACAAGGAAACTGTATTCTAAATTGTAACTCTGTTTAAAGTTATTTGTGGCTTTTATTGGCAAAATTTTTGTACTTTTACTAAACAATTGTAAAAAACGCATGTACAAGATCATCAGTATCATTAAATAGACATAAAAAAATGTCAAATGTAAAAAAATAAATGTCAAAATATTTTAACATTAAAAACATTTAATAGTATATTAAAGTACAAGTTGCAGAAGGTATCTATTCAATCACAAATCTGAAATTCTGAAACTAGCCGCGAAGCGGCGAGTTGAGGGACGAATGAGTGCTTGAAGAACCTTCTGCAACAAGTGCTTTATACTATTTTTTCTATTTCGCCGCTTTATATCATTTTATAAATTAAAAAACGAAAATTAATTTTTTTTCTAGAGAATTTTGCGACGGTTGGCGACATTTATGTGTGGAATAATTTTAGGTTGTATGTGTGGAATAATTTTAGGCTGTAAAAAATAAAAGTTATTCTTATTTTCACATTTGAAAATGAATTGTGAAGAAAGTCCGTCACTAAAATTAAATTACCGCGAACGACTTATTCCAGCACGCAAATGACGTCATATTCTAACATCGAAATAGAAAAACATTTTTTTCCATGTTCCTAGAATCTTATCTAACTTGAAATTTTTCTCTGGGGCGCGAGTTCTGACACACCTGTATTGTAACTGAAAAATTGTGTTTATAAACTTTTACGTAATAAGCCTTTTGATTAGTTGGAAAAAATAAATTATGTTGATTAATTTCCGTCGGATTTAAATATTGCTCTATCGCTTTTATACAAAACTAATTTAAGATTAAAATTTTATCAGATTAATTAAAACGCTTCTCCTAATGTTATAAAGATAGAAGAAATATCCTTTAAACCTAATTAATTCAAGCAGAAAGGCGCGCTAAATTTTTTTAGAGAAAATTTTTATATAGAATTTTTATTTCAAGAAATAATACCATATTTTGCACACCCACATAAAAACATTCATTATTATTTTACAGTATTCGTTTTGAATGCATTGATTTAGAATAAGTATTTAGGACTGTATTACTCACAGAGAACGTAGGTACTTTTATTTATTTATACTCGTAATTAGGTAATATTTATTTTGAAAATGATTTGTAATGTGGTACAATACTCTTGTTATCATTCACCTTCATTGTGAAATTTACCCCATTTTCTAAAATTCCATGCAGATTTTGTGTTTATTTTAATTTTTTAGGGAATTAAAAACGGATTTGTCTCAAAGTTGAACAAAGAGAAACCAAAGTGGAAATTTTCATTTACTGCAGAAACAAAGTTCTAAGAAAAACCAGTATTACCAGTTCAAACACATAAACACTTCTTAATTTGTTAAAACATTAATCGGAAGGTTTATTATTTCAGATGTTGGAAATTAAATTTCGACATAACTTATTGAAATTAATTATTAATTCGATTTTCCGCTTAATAAAACGTGATAATCGGATCACGTGAACGATTTTCTCTTCAGTGAGCTCACTTAACATTGTTGACACAACAAACACGCCAATGTGAAGTATTTACAATAATTACTGTTTGATTTCTCGACTTCAAACGATGTGCGAACTACCATTATCACAATTTGTGTGGTAATAATCGATTTGACATTTTGACACTTGTTGCTCGCGATAACGAATCCTCCGAGAACCTTTTGTATGTTTATATCAAAAACATATTCTTTATTGTTTTATTTTATACAAAAAACCACCTGCACATATCTCATTTCATTATAATTACATCCGATCAAAACATTAGGTACAAGATAATTACACTTGATTACATTATTTTTTTTTGGATGAAAGGGGTCAACCCACTTGTCCCTCAATCGCCTTCCTCATACGATAATTGTTGTCGTAGAACAGGGTCATAATTTAGGTGCCTACGCGTTATTTTAAAAATACAGCGTTTATAAAAAGCGAGGACCCTTTTCAGGCGACAGCCAATAAGCTCAAATGGGTGGAGTTTCGACCACGTGGATCTGACCGATTTATTCACAGATTTTTTTTCTATTTTTTTACAGACCCCAGCCCCATTGCCTATCTGCACAGAATGCCTCGGCACGGAGTCGAAAAATCGGAACGGAGTGGCTGAAAAATTGAGCGCCTGTTCGGAATGTGGGGCTCTCGTGCACCTAACATGCACCTCGGCGGGGCCCGAATTGGGCGCCCTGTTGTCAAAAGGGGGTAAATGGTTTTGCGAGGACTGTAAAACTTGCGATGGTTGCGGTATGGATTTTTTGTCAGTTGTTTCGTTTAGGTTAATTGGGTCGAATTGTAGGAAATTCTGGAGTGTCGATTTGTCTGTTGTGTTGCTGCAGTTGCGAGCGGAACTACCATGTGGACTGTCTGGATCCTCCGGCGGAAAAGAAACCGAAATGTCCGTGGCGGTGCCGGCATTGTTTGGGTCACCACGACAAGTCGAAAAAGGGGGAGGTTAGCAGTAACGTAAAGAAAAAAATCGAAAAGGTTCGAGAGAAAATTAAAGAGAAAAATCAAAAGTAAGTCACGAGGTTTGAGTGTGAGGAAAGGTGTGATTTTGATTGCTTTTAGGTCGAAAGAGAGCAGCAATCCGTCGGCCGGCGCTCCGATAACGACGACGCCATCCGCGAAGGGTAACCGCAAGAGCCGGATACCAGCGACTCCGCAGCCCCTAGACAGTGACAGTGATAACAGCGACAGCGACAATGAGGGTACGCCATCCCCCGCCACTTCACAACATCATCATCTCCAAACTCCAGCCTCCCATGTCCATTCTCCCAATACCACCACCACCACTACCACAACAACCAACACTGACCGTCTAGAAACCTCCGACAGAATGTCGAAAGAGAAACAAAAATTCTTCAAATCGTCGGCGTTTAATCCCGACAAGAAGAAACAACAAGATAAGACAAAAAAAGTCAATCGGACACAACAGAACAATAAAAAAGCAAAAGTTGAAACGAAGAGAAAGCAAAAGAAAATCGTGTCTTCCAGTTCGGAATATACGAGTAGTAGCGAGGAGGAGACAAGCACTACCGACTCGGACACTGATTCTTCTGTCGAACCGTCGACCACGAGGTCCAGTATTAAAATACCGAGCATTTTTACAAGTAACACTAAGAAAATGGATACTTTCGGAAGCATAAGTGGTATTACAATGGACAAAGATAAGCCTTGGGGGTTTGCAGTGGCCGCTGCTGAAGCCAAGAAGAAAGAGTTGGCGAGTAAAGAACCTCTTACATTTGCCAGTTTTAAGAACCAATCATTTAATTTCGAAAATAATAGTAATAAAGGTTTTTTTTCGTCGCTGGTCGACGAGAAAAGTTCTAGCAATTCGAGCAGTAGCTTAGACAAAACGAAACCCGGTTTCGGACAATTGCGAGGTTTATTCGATGGTTTGAGTCACCTATTTGCGGCCGCCACTGAAAACCGCTCGAGAAATTCGACCCCTAATTACAACCCCAATCGTCGACCAAAAAAGGACGATGAAGAAGACGCCGAGAAGAGTCGAAAACGTGCAAATCCCACTCCTCCCGTTCCCGATTCTCATTCCAAAAAGATGTCAAAATGTCCTCCTCTATCGTCTTCCCCTTTCTCTTCCTCTCAAGAAAGCCACCAGCCGATGACGCCTTCTAACCTCGTTAAGACGGCCGTTAATTCGAAACGTCACGAGCTAGAAAGAAGGAAAATTAAAAGCGAAGCAGGGTTGGGTACGGTCGGGTTCGGACATAATATCGAGGATGCTCGAATGAAAAAACGCAATCTTATTGCCGAGGCCACACAGACAAACCATCCGTTGTCGGTGCCGCCGACGCCGATTGCCAACAATCAGACCGGTAAGATCGGAAATCCGTACCTCTCTGCCATCAAAACACGTTCTTTTTTCCTTCCCATCCAAAAATCCCCTCACATCCCCAAGACTTTTTTAATTTTATTTGAATTAATCGCTTAATCGTCCGGGCTCGTTCCATATACAGGCTGCTCTGAAGCGAGGTTTCGAATTTTCACCACCGAATTCTCTGGCTGAAACAAGATTCTGACAATTTTTATTCGCCCAGAAAAACGTTGGTGTCTATTCGAATCTTAATTTAGAAACAGCCTCTAAACTGAACGACCCCATTTACGAAGCTGACCGCATGTTACTTGGTGTGGTAGTATTATTGAGCACCGAGGTGATATTCACTTGTTCCAAGAAGCTAACAAACAAGTGAAACATCTCGCTTCAATCTCGGTACGCTTGCACCTTACACACATTCTGAGATTACTTGTCTGATTGGCTAGCTCAGGAGGTGACCGCTTTTAACTAATTTAGAATATTATCAAAAAATAACATTGCGTTTTCTCATCAACGCAAGAAGCGATAGACTAGCATGTGACCATCTAATAAACCGGTTATGGTGGCTTTGTAACCTCCTAGAATTTGTATTAAAATCGATTTCTTTTGTTTCAGACGAAATCAAACCGCCACAACTACCACCGGGTGTGACACAGAAAGACGTCGATTTATTTAAAGAAACACGAGAGAAGGCCAATGCGACGACGGCACTTTTACCACCTGGAACGCCCTTTGTTACGTCACCGTCGTTGGTAATGTCGTCGCAAGGTCGTTGTCCTGCTGCCATAGAATTTGGAAAATACGAAATCCAAACATGGTACTCCAGTCCGTTCCCGCAAGAATACGCCAGGCTACCTAAACTGTTCCTGTGTGAATTTTGCCTCAAATATACGAAAAGTAAGGCCGTTTTGGAACGGCATCAAGATAAATGTACTTGGAGGCATCCACCAGCGACGGAAATCTACCGATGTGGAGATTTATCTGTGTTTGAAGTCGACGGAAATGTTAACAAAATCTACTGTCAGAATTTGTGTCTTTTAGCGAAACTTTTCCTCGATCATAAAACACTCTATTATGACGTGGAGCCATTTCTATTTTATGTTTTGACGAAAAATGACAAAAAAGGGTGTCACCTTGTCGGTTATTTCTCAAAGGAGAAACATTGTCAACAGAAATATAACGTTTCATGTATTATGACTATGCCTCAGTATCAGAGACAGGGTTTTGGCCGCTTCTTGATCGATTTTAGTTACTTATTATCAAAGAGAGAGGGGCAACCAGGAACCCCGGAAAAGCCACTTTCCGACCTTGGACGAGTTTCGTATTACGCTTATTGGAAATCGGTGGTACTTGAATACCTCCACGCACATCGCAATGCTAAATTAAAACTGACAGATATAAGTAAAGAGACCGGAATGTACTGTCATGACATTGCTCTTGCTTTACAACTGCTCGGGTTTGTCCGATGCGTCTCGACTGAAACCGGCCGAAAACCGGTGCTCTGTATCGATTGGACGAAAGTCGATAATCATGCAGAACGAGTCGCTAAAAGTAAAACTAGAATTAAAATCGATGCTGAATGTCTTAGATGGACACCTCTTCTAACATCGACTGTAAATCCTTTCAGAGAAGAAAAATCTGACGGAGAAAAAGAGTCAACACCTGTCGAAACAGCTGATATTATAATCCCCCAACCCGAGAAAATTATAATAGAGACCCAACAAGGTGTTAAATTGAAAAAAGGACGAAAACGAAAAATTTCAACAGCGCCTAAAACACCAAAAGTGGCGAAAAATGAGCCTAAGACACCTCAAGTTACTCCTAATAATCCATCTAAGGAAGAAGTCGAAATTACATCGTCGGGTCGAAGAAGGACGAGGCCTAGTAAATACAATGAAACGACATTTGCTGACGTCAAGCCTAAAAACCATGAAAATAATAAACGGAAACGTAACGATACATCTGAACCGGAAGTGGCCGAGAAGAAGTTGAAAGCCGAGCCGGAAGTAAAACTTGTCAAGTGTGATGAAGAAGTTGCGAAGATCCAACCGAAAGAAACTCAAAGGCCGAAGAGGAACGTCGGGGGTAATAAAGAGAAGGTTGCGGGTGAGAGATGGTCACAAAGACGTGTCAAGAAACAACAGGAGAAGAAAGAGGAAGTTGCAGAAGAAAAGGAGGAAAGTGTGGTCGAAAAATCGGAAAAAATTGAAGTGGAAGCATCTCCAGCACCGGCCAAAACTCCCAAACCGAGAAAGAAACGGCCGTTTGTGAAAACCAAGACAAAGAAACAGTTGACGCTACCTGAACTTATGAAGACCAAACTTCAACAGAGGGAAAGTGAAAGTGAGAGTTTGCTGTCGGAGAAATCGGAGGATGAGGACACAACAACAAAAACCACAAAGAAGGATATTGTCAATAATGAGAAGGTCGAGGTTCGGGTGAAAAGTACGAAGATTAATAGGATTTCAACCGAGGAGGATTCCAGTGCTGAGGCTGATGATGAGATGGAGAAGGATGAGTTAGCACCGAAAGCTTTCGAAGTTTCGCCTAATACCAAATACAAATTGCCTAGTCCTACGAAAGAGAAAGTTGAATCGGTTAAGAAAGACGTACAGAAGGTTGAAGAGAAAGAAATTGAAAAGGAGGCAGAAAAACCGAAGTCTCCTCAGGTTTATTCTTCTACGACTTCTGAATCGGAGACTGAGATTGACGGCCAGAAAATCAAGACGATACATAAGGAAATATTGGAAATTTCCAAAAAAGATGTTTTAGTTGATAATCAGATCAAACAAGAGGAAGTGAGTAAGAATGAAGAGAAAATTGAGGTTAAACCGGTCGAAACCAGTCCAAAGAATGAAGAAGTACCAGTAGAGAAAGTCGCGGATCAGTCAATTGAGTTTGATAGAAAATCATCTGATATGGATATTGAAAAAATCGATGACGATCGAAATAAAATCGTTATTCAACAATCGGCGCCGCCACCTCCACCTAAAGAACAGTCGTTACCGAAAATTGTTGAAGAAAAACCAAAAATTGAGCTTCAACCCGAACCGCCTAAACCAAAACCTGAACCGCTTGTGGAAAACAAAAAGAAAGACGATATAAAACCGCCGACTCCACCTCCTGAAATTAAATCTGTAATTACAGAAAAGAAATCCCCGAAAATCGAACCTCCTAAAATAGCCGAACCAGTTCCTGCACCCAAAGCTGTAGTTCCGGTACAAATCGAACCTAAACCTATCAAAGAGAAAGACGTAAATCCTAAAACTCAACCTGTTGCCAAAACTGAAACTAAGCCTAAACATGAAGAAAAGCGGCATCACGATAAACCCAAAACTGCCAAAGTACAACACGTGGAAAATGAAAGTATTTTGGCTAAAACCGACTTCAGTATGACCGCGGCTCAGAATTACCATCACATGTCTCAAGCCCAGTATAATCAATGGCAATGGGGTCTCCCCTGGGACAAATCGATTTATTACGACCACAAACGTGAATACGCCGGATATCCGATGCCTTTACAGTTCCCTCCTTTAGAAATGTTGCCCAAACAACAACTTCCCAGTTGCGAGAAAGAAAAACCTAAAACGCACCGACACGAGTCGAAACAAAGCAACAGTAAGGGTTCCAAAGAGGGCAAAAGCGAGAAAAGTTCTCCAAAAAAGGACGACAAGGCGAGAGAAACAAAAAACACGTCTTGTTCTGTGAAATCAGCCTCGCTTCCGGAAAAACCAATCCCTCCATGTTCAATGCCAGAGAAACCGAAGAATAAAGAGGACGAGAAATTGGAGAGTGTTGAGCTGTCGCAACAACCTCAACAGCAACCGCAACAACAGCCTCATCAACAACAACCAATGACTACACCTTCGATCAAACACACACCTCCGACTCCTTCGTCCGAGATTCCTTCAATGGGTGTCTACACTCCCGATTCCACGACGAATTCCGTGCATAGTTTGCATTACGGCCAGTGCGATCTCGATGTTGCTCAATTAGGTCTCGAATCACCGGCGTCCATTTCGAGCGATATGGCGTCACAGAATTCGGTCGAACCGGTTAGGCCCCCCTCAGTTTTACCTGTTAGTACCGCCCAACAGCCGCAAACCAACTACGATTGTACCGTACAGCATAATTTACAACAACAGAGTGGTCTACAGGTAAGTTATTTTTCAATAGTATTCAAAGTTTCGGTAAAAATTAATTAGTAATCCTATTCGTAGTACTCTGATATTTATGACATGTTTGCGTTGTAGGTGCAACAGAACACGACTGTACCGACTTCAAGTCCCACAGTGAACCCCAGTCCGATGCAGATGCCCCAACAAAACACTCACCAATCCGGTTCGAGTAAACGTCAAATGCAACAGCCCCGAAACCGATCCAGCACACCGTCGACTAATAAACAACAATCCAACATGAAACTCGCTTCTCCCGCTCAACAGCACGCCTCCGTCCAACAGCAACAACAACAGCAAAGTCGGCAGCGAGCAACGCCCCCTGCTGTTCAAACCCACCAACACATGTTAGCCAGTCCCACGCAGAACCAGCAAGTACAACATCAGATGCAACAACAACACCACATGCATCATCAAGTCGCCATGCACCAAAGCTACACCCATCACGCCCAATTAGGGGCGTCGCCGATGCACCAACATCCCCATCATCCCCACCATTCCGTCATAAATTCAGGGAATTATATCCCGGTGGCCGTGAGTACTCAAGGATTTCCGGCGCAAGGGACGAGTACTTATGTCAGCGTACCTATGACGACGGTAATCCAGCATCGGATGAGTGCCCAACAGACTCATCAAAAGCTGGCCCCATCGCCCTCGTGTGCTGTTACGACAGGAACTAACTTTTACATCCAGACGAATCCACATCCACATGCGCATACCCCAACTCCGGCCCCTACACCAGTCCCGACGTCAACTTTGCAAGGCCCCGCCCAGCCCGGCCAATCGAGTTGTAGTCTCGCCAAATTGCAACAATTGACGAACGGTTTGGAAATGATGCCACCCAATTCGTGTAGTACGATGACTCCGCCTCCATCAGCAATGACACTATCGCCGCCTCCTACGCACCACCCACATGCAACAATGACGCCGCCCCCAACACACCAAATGATACAGAATCAGACCGTTCGGAATCTGGCACCGTCACCGTCCGGGATTCAGCCGCAAGTTCTGAGTTATCATAAGTATTACCAACCGAATATGAACGTGAATCAGTTAGGAGGGGCGGTGACGCCGCCAATTGGTCAGAATTTAGGGCGATCCCGAAATTCGACCAATGTCCAGCATATGCAGAGCACGTCGAGTCGAGTCAGTCCGAATGTGGCGGCTTTGAACCCGATGTATAACTCGTTGAATGGGTACAGGATGGCTGCGCAACAAGGCCCGGGACCGGTCACTGGATACATAACGAATACAGCGGCAGGGTTCATCAATAATGCCCAAATTCCCATGCAAATGGGCGTTATGAACATGGCCCAAACCCAGTACCAGGATCCTGCGGCAATCCAGAGAGCCCAACAGAACACTATGTACACTTACGGATACATTAATAGTGGGTTGATGCAACCGTTGAATGGAACGATGAGACGTTAAGTGACTACCAGTGATATGACTTGACTTGGTTTTCGTTTGTTTTATTGATATGCCTTATCTGGTTACGGCGGTTTTTTTCTCTAGGGCTGTGCAGGCTTACGTTGATCTGATTGTATGTAAAAGAACTATTGTGTTGTTTTTCAAGGTGACAACACCTTGTGTTTATTTGTTATTTATTTGATCGTCCAGATCAAAATGCAGATTTTATTGAAACCGGATATTTTGTAAGATTTTTTAAATGTTTAAGGACAAAAAATTGAGACGTTTTTGAACGCTTATTTTAGTAAGTAAGACTTGGAACGGTTAATGCATTGTGTACATTTTAATAAGAGTATTAATTTATTTCGAAACATTTACTGTAAGATATTGTAAATTTTGTGAATATTATTAATTAAGTAACATTTAAACAGGGATAAGGTTTTGAGCTGAGTAGTCTTATTTCAACAATTGTTAACTCGAACTAATATTTTTTTTTCTCATTTTTCTTGTAAATTGCAATAGATTTAATGATAATCAAAAACTACAACTAATTAATAAAATAGTCTAAGTGTTTGATGTTTTATCACTTATTTTTATTTCGTGTAGCACTGTGATTAGATTTGTTAGCTTGTTTCTTTAACATTGTGTATAAGCAATTTCGCTGTATATTTTAAATTTGTATAACTACATGATATTAAAAAATGTTAGTTTTTACACGGACTTTCATTTAACAGTTAGTGCTTGTCTTTATTCAGCCATATCAACAGTGCGATATAAAAAACTAAGTACTATAGCCCTGAATACTATTGCTAAGGTTGAAAAGTCGCTTTCCCGCTGAAGGTGCATCCGCTTCTCTGCACGATTTGGGACGCCGCCCAAATACCACATCTCACACAAACATCCAGACTTTGCCCTTGGATGTACTGCGAGAGGAAGCCGCCAGCGAAGGCATCGCCGGCTCCGTTGGTATCGACGAGTTTATCCTTACTCAAAACATCGACGGGAAATTCGCTGATTTTCCCCTCACGCGCGAGGATGACAGGGTTGTGACCGGTGGTAATAACGCAAACACGTGGTCGATTCTCGTTCTGTTTAGGAAGTTTGCAGATTTTCAAGGCGATCTCTTTTAAGTCTTTGGTGCCGAAGTTCTGTTCGGTGGCGAAGGTCTCCGCCTCCTGAAAGCAAATAAAATTCGTGGTCAAGGTGATGTTCTTTTAAAAAATATGCAAAGATAACGCCATGAATAATGGATGTAAGACTAATTCTGAACGGAAAAATACTCATTGTGATTTTTAATAACACTGGATTCGGGCGATAAAAATTGACCTAAGGAACTGAGATAAGATTACCGTTTCGTTTCCAAATAAGAGGTCAATATAAGGCATCACTTGCATCAGAGGTTCCTTGTAGAATTGTGAAATAAAAGGCGCGCTAAGATTCATAATAAACGGCCGATCGTTTGCTAAGGCGTGTTTCGCAACTTCTAGGATGCTTTGCGGACTCACAGTTATAAAAAACCCCTAAAACTTACTTCATTATTGGAAAAAATCGCAAGTCATGCTCAAACTCACAGAAATGTAAAAATATTGTGCATTTTCTAGCAACTTGCGATTTTCGGCATCTCTTATATGATCAATGGTAAAACAATTCGCCGCTGCTAAATTCGCACACAAGGACCGATTTGTGCCTGTAATAAGCACGGCACATGTGCCTGTGGGGACCTTATCGTTGTATTGATAAACCACGTTGACACCATCGGCTTTCGCCTTGTCTTTCAGAATCTGGGAGTATTTATCTGTTCCCACGCACCCGAAAAACGTGGTCACTTTGGGCTTTTGGAGGAGCCATTGGGCCACTCGGAGGCTGTTTTGCACGCTGCCGCCGGCAATAAACTCCGCTTTGTATTTTTCTATCATTTCCGAATAGAGATTTTTGTGAGATTCATCAGCCAGAATCGCATTGTTTTCTTTCATGTTATATTTGGTTAAAAATTCTTTGTCCACGGTGGCGGATATGTCCAGCAAGGGGTTTCCCATGCCCAGCAACATGTTTTCTCTAAAAAATCTAATTGGGGTTAAAGTACTTACGGAATTGTGAGACGTACCGTAAATTTTCACGTTGCATGTTTGAGACTAAGGTAGGTAGCGCGAACTTTGAGTTATAAGTAAATTGGTGGAATTTTGATGGACATAACCTCAATGCCGGACTGAGTGTCAGGATAATCTCTTGGCAAGTAACATGTCCGCGTCAAATTAAATACTAAGTATCATTTATAAAACCATTGTTGGTATTTTTAGATTGATTGTTTACTAGTTTTAGAGATAATGAATATTTAATGAGGTATTATGAAATTGTTAAGTAATGTTCGAAGTTTGAAGCCTCGCAGGCAGATGGCGATAGTTTTGACGTTTTGAGGTTGGTGCAACTGCACTTAATTCATTGGAAAAAAAGTAGTAATTAATAGCCATTAATTTATGCCAACAAATAAACAAGTTGTATAAATTAATCACTACTATCAATTTTATTTAAATTAACGTCCTTATTTTAGCTTTAAGTTGAAATTCTTTCAACAAGATATAATACACACAGTCCGGTATGGTCTAGTGGCTAGGATACCTGGCTTTCACCCAGGAGGCTCGGGTTCGATTCCCGGTACCGGAAATTTTTCTTTTTTCTCAACCTAGCTATGTTTAATTAATAAATCTATTACCCAAGATTTAAATGTAACACTCATACATTTTTTATTAGGCGATTAAATAAATCAATTTTTACATTGATAAGAAATTCAATTTGGGTGGAATAATTTGTACCTGAAATGGTCATCCAAATTAATTATTAAATAAACGTTATTAAGGCGAGTTAAATTTTTATATTTGACACAAGCGTGGCTTGAATAAATTATCAAAATTCTCCTTTTAAGTGAAAACGACCGAGACTTTTAACGAGGATACAAAATATTTGTAAAATATAAATTAATACAATAGGATATTCTTTTCTTTTAACTACATTTTTAGAATTTTCCTTTAATTGGTTGCTTGATTGATAAAGATGGGTCCGCAAAGTAACGGTTTCGGAAACATCGAATGTGAACATGTTTAGAATTTTTTCTTCTCTTTTTTGTTTGAATAGCAAATAAATGTTTTAAAAAACGAATAATTTTCGATATCTCCAAAACCGTTATTTTGGGGACCCATGTTTATTAAGACTTTTTTGTTTGTTTTAGTCTATACTATTACCTCCTGAAATATTTTACAATATTTTTTTAACACCCGTAACGTATACCTACGGGTTGTTTCATTAAATTAAATTTCGGTATTTCACTCGTTCTCAAGTTGATTATCCTTGCTTTTTTTGTTTGCTTATTAGTTAATTTTTTTATTAATTTTTTCGGTAACACTTCCTAAAATATTTTGCAAATTTCTTGCCAGCTATAGTGATAGAATTTGAAATTATTAGGTACTTTTAGTAATTTTCTACCATTCGTTCCAATTTAGAATAAAAAAACCAATAGGTTTTTCCTTAAGAAATTTGTTTGTGGAAGTTTAAAAGGCTCCCTGTCGACTATCTATATATTTTATTTTTATTTGTATAAGTATATTTTTTATGCTAAGCTTATAACACCGGTTTTTTATTATAAAAATTATTTTATTGAGGTGGATATTTGTTTACTCACATAACGTACCTAAAATAAATCGACAAAAGAAAAAATGTAGTAGAAAAAATATAGTGTGCATTTCAAAGTGTTTGCCATTTCTCTAAACTATACAGCTGCGCCAGAACTCGCGCCCCAGAGAAAAATTTCAAGTAAGATAAGATACCAGGAACATGGAAAAAAATGTTTAAAAAATTCTATCTGTCAAAAAATTTTGACATTTACTTTTTGACATTTGACATTTTTTATGTCTATTTTATGATACGTACTGATGATGTTGTTTATGTTTTTTTACAATTATTTAGTAAAGGTAATAGAGTCAAAGTGCAAAACTTAAACTCGGATAACTTTGAAATTTTTATAGATTAAATTTTTTAACATTTTTTCCATGTTTCTGGTATCTTACCTTATATTTTTCTCTGGGGCGCGAATTCTGGCGCAGCCTGTATACTTGTAAATGTAAAAATAGGATCTTTCACAGTTTTTATTGTTATCAAAAAAATGAAAACCTACAAATACGGCAACTAGACAACCTGATTTAGTTACATAATTTAATTATTAATGCTCATTGTTGTTTATTGTGTATTCTTGTCAATTTTTTACTAAAAATTAGAGAAAGTTAGCGATTTTGCATTACAAATCGTGTCTGAATTACGACGGTGATTTTTTTCTCATGTGTTCGTGCACAGTTTTCGTCTTCAAACTTCAAAAAACTAATAGCGTTACTAAATTTGTCTCCGTTTTTGTTGACAACTTCTTTTATTAAAATTACCACAAATTAATTTGCTAGCGATGCCAACTTTAAGACTGTTTGGCATTTTCGTAATATAACAGACCTTAGATTCAGACATGAAATAAGATCTCAAAAAATTTGCATTTGAAAATAAATCAAACAAAATATCAGTGTGTTTGTATTATCACACTTTTTATACTAACGTGTGTTCTTTAAAAAAAATATTTTGCATGTTTTTGATTAAAAACTCATACATACGACAACATACAGGGTGAATATAAAATATGAAACCAAGCGAATTTTTTTAATCAGTTGCTCTAGAAAATAATAATTAATACAAGTAATATAAAAAATGTAATCGTATTTTGAAAATGAAATTTTGTTTTGTTTTTGAGTTATGCGATTTTTTTGTCAAAATTGCAATTTATGTAAACATTTTTTTTTAATTAAAAATAAAGTAGATAGTGGTAATCCTTAGATCATAACCTTTATGARAAAAATTGTTTTATAGTGGGTTGTTATTTAAAAAAAATAAATTTTTTGTGGAACTCAAAAACAAATAAAAATTCGAAAAATTTTATTCTTGATAAAACATCACATTTTTAGAGTACTTCATTATTCATCAATTAGTTTTTCCAAAAAATAAATAGTTTAAGAAAAACATTTGGTTCAATACTTTTATTCATAAAAGCAAATAAAATAAAAATCGAAAGGGTGATAATTCTCTATAGTAGAGGAGATTGTTCATCGATCAAATAAGCGAACTCTAGCCTCCAAAGCAATTCAAATTAGCATTTTCTCGGGTCTAAAAATACGTATATTATCCTAGAAATATTTAACTAGAAATAAAAAAAGCCAAGCTGAAGAAAATCGATATCCATTATTAATGAAAGAAATTTCTGTGTAATGAGCCCGTCTGATGTGAGACAGAGCAAGCAAGACGTTGGCTTTGAAATTTAAAGAATAGCGACATACTCACCCCCTTAATCAAAGTTGCAAGTTTTCGCGTTATTTCAGACATACGTCAAGTGTGTACGTACGTCTGTATTAGATTCGGCATATTTTCACGAACCCTTCGGGGGGTTGCTGAATTTTTCTTAATTATTCCGCGCGGAGCGCCTGAAATCAGCCAAATTAACATCAAAGCGAAATCGTCGAAATTTAAAGTGATAAGAGAGCCCTTTCAAAATTACAATTAAAGGCGAGTACGGAGTGCACAATCTATGAAGTAAGATGTAGGGAAAAGAAAAGAATTACTTTTATTGTCTCCACTTTCTGCATTGTAAAGGGGTTGAACGCGTCACCCCTCCCTCGGCCTCTAAGATGGGAGGTTTTTGCATGACAGGCCAAAGAAAACTTCTCTGGCAAATGTAGATAGAATTTCTTCATTTTGTCTTTTATCCCAGTTCGGCACTCCCAAGTCGCGATCTCGCCCTCTTTCTCGCGCATTCCTGTACACTCATCAAGTCTTGCGTATATTCTTATATTACAGTAACTAATCAGAGACGGACGCCCTCCTCTCTTTTCTTTCTTTCTCTTTTTAATGAGCGTCGAAGCCTTAATTTCGCCGAATCTTTCATATTGTTAGCGCGCTCTCCTTCTCTTGCGTATTTACGATTTTTCGAAGGGGGTTGCGAGAGGCACACGTGTCGTATGACGGCGACGGGGAACTTTCGCCGGCCAAAGCTTAAATGTTCCAGTGTATTATGAGAGGGAGTCTTAAGTTTTAAAACTTAAGAAGTTGCAAAGAACTTTATTAAGTATGTGTACCTGATTTGTGGGCTTGAGTTGAGGGGTGGCGCGCCAAACTCACCCTCGAAACGAAAGAATTACGCGACGTGTCGTACTTTATATCCGCTTCATAGTTAAATGTTTAGCGCTTTCCGACGAATTTATAACGGAAAAGCGACCAACGGTATGCTAATGCAGAGGGGATGATGTTTGGCCCGATTTCGGACGTTTACTTAGGGGAGACGACTCGACTATTACCAACGCTGAATGCCATTTAATAGTTTGTTTTACAATTTTATTACAGATTTACCGCATTTACTTACACACAAATAAATGACTCCAATTGTACTAAAATTCGGGTTTTACAAGTGTCAATAATATTGATTTGGAAAATAATTTATTAAAAAAAAATTGAAAATACCTGCGTTTAATTAAGGCTTGTGAGTTTGAAATTAAGTTGGCAACATTGAATAATGAGAAAAAAGTTATTGCGTCACTGTAAATAGGATTGTGATTTTTGTCGCCAAATATTGGCATACTTAACCCCAAAATTCAAACGTCACAATTTTGTATACAATTGCAATTGCGCTCCAGAGAAAAATATCATATAAGGGAAGATACCAGGAACATGGAAAAAATGTTAAAAAAAATATCTATAAAAATTTCGAAATTGTGACAGTTTAAATTTTGCCTTTGACTCTATTTATTTCTGTTGTAAAAACAATTTTCCAAGTTTTTTTGATTTTGTTGTATTTTATAATTAATTTGGGATTTTGTGATTACATTTTTTAATGTTGGAATGTTGCCAAATAATACATACCTATAAATTAACGAATTTTACAAAATTAGCCAAATTAAAAGATCAAATATAAGCAGTTTCAGACTATTTTTTTATTTACTGGTGGGGGTAATGTGAATGAAAAACAGGACATGACTTCCGTCTGTTTTTGACGTTTGACAGCTTTTGACATTTTTGTATTAAAGTCAAAAATTAAAGCTTCTCTCTGGCATTTTTATTTTTATAGGACTTGAATTACGATTCTTATGATGATATAGAGGGTATAAATTAGTGTTTATTAAAGCTAATGCCTCAAAACAGTTTTTCCCATAAAAATGAAATCATATGACGGTGAGAATCATTTTTGACGTATGTACGTCACTAGCTCTGCGTTACTTCAATCGCATTTGTTAAAGTGAGATAAATAGCGTGACCTACCTTATGCAAATACGTAGCGAGAGAGCAACAAGGCTGTTTAAAGA